AATGGATGTAAATTATGATAATCTAATATTAATTAAAAATAAATGATAAATGCACTTGGCACTTAATAATAAAAATATTCATTAAAAATTAATATTAATTTTATATTTCAGAAGTAATAATTTTTGTTCATATTCATCTATTATTATGTATAAATATTATATTTAAAAAATAAATTGAAATATACAAACAGCTATTAGTATTTTTTTTTATATAATTCAACTTACTCCAAAATATTGATTACTTAAAATATTGGAAAAATGAAAAAGATCCATTAATCATTGTTCTTACAATTGTTCTTTCAATTTACGTAATCGTTTATAAGAAAATTTTATACCACATAATAATTCTTTTTATGCGATTATGATATTTTGAAACAATATTTTCTATATCAATATGTATACATTTTCTATATATTTTTTTCTATATTATGAAAATTATTTGTTTCGAAATCAAAACGTTATGCGTATAATTTTTTTTTTTTTATGATTAATGCATAGATTAAACATCTACATACTTTTAAAAAGAATATCGCTATATATACCATAACTATGTATTAATTTTATATAAAATTATTGTCATACGTGATTTTATTTTTTTTTAAAAATTCATTGATATAATTAATCTCGGTCAAATAAATAATGTATTATTTTCATGTCTTTTATATATCCTAATTAGAAATTAATATTAAATACAATGTTATTTATTAGTACGAATAAATAATTACAAAGTGCAATATAATTTAATATAATGTATTATGCAGAATATTTTTTATAGAAAAAACAGTGTTTCGTAATCATTCTAATGTTTATCCAAAATTAATTTAAAATGCTTATCAGGACTAATGTAACTATTATTGGTTAAAATTTACAACTTATATGTAATATATGCTTACTAAACAAAGTACTATATTAATTTAGCAAATAATTATTTAAAATTGTACTAAATCAGGCATAAGTATATTTAGATCAGGAGGTTTTTAAATGTATGAATCAATCATACCTTTTGAACAATTTTTTGTTATTCCTAAATTATACAAAAATTTACTCTTTTATCCATTAATATGTTTTAATAACATTATTGAAAATATTTTTGTATGAATTATAATGGGATATTCCAATGCCCATTGATAAATATTGATTTGATTTAAATAAGCTCATAAATTAAAATTCTAAAATTAAATCATAAATTAGTATAAGTATAAATAAAATTAAGACTACTCTCATAATTATCTGTATCAGTTTCTTTTATTCTGCAATAATTAATATTATTATCGAGGCCTCTGAATAAATTAGTTAGATGTTAACACAATTATTTCATTAATACTTTTCATACTAAATATTATAGTTATCAAATAAATTTAATCCATATATTGTTTAAAGTAATTATATATAAGAACAGTAATTATAGTGTTTATTTCTAATTTTAAACTAATAGCGCTAAGATTAGTTGAATAAGAATGTCATTAAAAAGTAATTTCAGCATAATTAATATTTTCGATAAGTTTTTCTGAAATAGTTGATTTCATAATTTTAGGTATTAATTGATGTAATGAATTCATTTTCATATTAATAAAAATATCTCTTAAGAAAGGTTTAATAAGATTTTATTACTGACTATATAAAAAAATGTTATTGATTATAATATTATGGAAAGTAGGTTGTATGAAACGATAATTAAAATATTGAGAAAGTTACATATAGGAAGGAAACTATAAGCTCATTGGCATAAAAAACTAGAGAACGAAAATATTGACAGAAAATCTGATTTATTTCGTATTGTTTTGATTACACGAATATAAATGACAACCACATTTACGTTGATAATTCTTCAAAATTTTAAATAATTTAAATCTATCTGCATATAATATTATTTATAATGTTACACATATAAATGTAGTTATCTATAAAATATTCAATAATATTATACATCGTCCTGAAAAAGAATAAGTTTTTATTTAATATATCATAAATATTATAACTTGTATTGATTATATTATATTTATTCCAGTAGAACACATCGGATATAGTAAGACAATATTTACATCTCCAAAAAATTTTTAGTTTTAAAAAATATTTCAAAAAAATATATTAGTAATTTATTTAAATTATACTGAAGGTATAAATATTGCTAATATAAAAGAGATTGATGGTTTTGTTATTTTGAGATTTTCAATTATTACAAAAATTAATTGTAATTTGAATATGGTAAATTTTTAACATTAAGAGGATTATTTTTAATACATACATTTTTAAATATACTATATTATTTCTTGAAATAATATAAAAATGTTTTAAAAACTCTAATTGACTAATTATATTATATATAATTTTATTTACTATCCATAATTCGAATAATTAAAATTTTGATAAAGTCAACGAAATCATTTTATTTAATAAAAATTTTAACAAACATATGTAATTCAATTACTTGAAAAGAAAAAATTAAATTATTTAAATGATTTAAAAGAAAACTCAAATAAATTTCATAATATAATATGACATGAATACATCATTTTAATAAGTTAAGAATTAACAAATTAAAATAAATCAATAATATTATTATGATAAATAACAATATATTTTAATATATTTTTATATATACAATAACTATTCTGTTTTAAAAAAATTTAATTGATTTTCCGTTTAACTAATGATTTTAATTATTTAATACAACATCCCTTTAAGCGACATTCATGATAGTATTTTAAAAGAAAAAAGTTGCTAATAAGGTTAATTTTTTAATATTAAATTAATGAATATTTTTAAATGCTACAAAATTTACACTCATATATAAATGTGAACGTAGTGGTGATAACTGTTTACTGTAAATGTGAAACAGTTTACAAAACCGTTTACAAGCATAATGATCGATGGCGCGTAACTGATGAATTTTCAAACGAATCCATTCTATTATACAATCATTCTCGTGTCTATTTCCATACTAAAGTAAATGGTATGAACGATGTCACATTGAAAAAAATTTATTATTATCGTAACGGTTCCATTGATCTTGGCGCCAATTATGACTAAATATTGTTATCAACCATAATGTCAATGAAGTGTTAAATAAATTTATAAATTCTGCCACGATAATAAATTTTTTAAAGTGTTAACAGTTAGTGCTTATAAATGCATTTATTTTAATATTTTTACATTCTATTAAATTAAAATTGTGTAAGTATTTATTAGGAAGTTAACATAGAAAGATTCGACAACTATGGATTTTATTGTATATATTGGGCGTAAATGTATTTGTTTTTAATATTGTATTAGTAGCTTCAATAGTACTACAAAATTTTAATATGCAAAAATAATTGAATATAAAATTAAAAATTTTGACTCTTTAAACTCACGCAATATTAGGGAATATTAAATTATCACCTGTAATTTTTCATATAAACTTTTCTTAATTTTCTAATAATTTCTACATATTTTCTATAAAATATTCCGATGATTAGCACGATAATAGGTCTCACATATTAGTTTTTAGGTTCGATAACTTGCAATAGCTTATATAGTCATATTATTAATCGTATTTATTTAAATTGACGATAATTCTTCTATACGCAAAGCAATTTCGGATTACATGTAAATATACTTTTGCTGACAATGACAAATGTGATGTAACTAATAATAAGCCCTTTGAATAACTCACCAGCAGATGTCTGAGCATCACCGCAGAATAAAGAAAAAGGACTTGCAGCTGGGGCGAGTTGTAAGCACGCGACGGCCAATGAGAAACAACAGAGCGCCGCAGCGCGTACGGCGTCGACAGGAAGGAACGGCGACCGGAGAGGAACTTTCGTCACGCGTCAGTACCAAGTTAGATGAGCAGGGCTCCTTCTTCCTCCAACAATTTTCACGGATGCACTATATAAACTAATCTACTGACGAAGCGAACTGCCCAGTTCTCGTCGCCTTGTCTCCACAATCGTTTCTCTATCCACTCATTATCTCATACTCATATCTTTTATAAACACGATTTACTCATTAATTAATCATACGTTTTATTTTGTTTTTTTTTTTTTTTTTTTTGCTAATACGAGGTATGGAAAATAATAAATAGAAGCCCCTAGTGATACACACACACACACACACACATATATATATATATATATATATATACTCTTATATGCATATATATATATATATATATATATATATATAAATTATTACAAGTGACAGTTAATAAAAAAAAGTGTATAAATAATTAGTGTAGAAGATTTTGTTGTTCTTTTTACGAAGATCCCAAAGATATTCCGAATGAGGTGAAGATGATGTTAAAGTTAATTATTTGTTTAATATTACTTGTTCCAATATCAACGAGTATTGATCACAAATTACTGGCAGTGAAAGGGAATGAGAGGGTGTCAAGAAATGAAGACACTTTAATGAAAAGCTTTAATTGGATAGGATATAAGTTTCTTGGCAATATTGAATCTTTCATTCCTTATGGCCAGACAAAAAGTATCGAAGGTACGAAAAAATAAAATTAAAAATTACACAACGTAAATAAAAATTTCTCATATGTTTTTTAAAAATAAAATATATATAATCTTTTTATTAATTATAAAATAAATTTAATACATTATCGTAATACTTGAGAAGTCTAAATGGTTGTATGAAATATTTTAATTTCAAATTTATTTTGATTTAAATATACAAATATATACAAATACTATGGAAGACTGCAACTCTAAATTTACGCAAAATTTTTATCAATTAGCTACTCTTAAAATATTTTAAATATCTATGATTTTCAACTGTATTTTCAAATGTAATAAGTTATTTTACCGAATTATAATAATAAAATTTAATGGAATTTAAAAAACTTAACAATTTACGTTATTTAAGTTGTATAAAAATGTTTATATTTTATCTAATGAGTGAATGTTAATAAAAATAAGCTAAATATCAATCTGATTGCTAATAATTCAAGTATGATTTTGATGTGTAACTTATTTTGCTGTTTATAGGAATTATTATAATGAAAATAAATTACAGGTCGAAAGCGTAAGAAGTTCAAGCTAAATAAGTATGTATTTCCTTTAATCATTGGGTTCTTGCTTATTAAATCGGTAATACTACCTTTGGCTCTAAAGGCTTTAGCAATCCTCAGTGGAAAAGCCGTAGTGCTTAGTTTAATGAGCTTAATTTTGGCGGCCATTGTTGGACTTCGAACTGTCGCATCCGGAGGTGGAACCACTGCACAGAACAAAATAGACTTGGCATCAAACTATAAGAGAAAAGATATGCAAGATTACATCGATCCAATAGATGATAATCCATATAGATACTATGCTGATCATACTCGAAGAAAAAAATAATTAATGTCTTTTCATTTATTTGTAATTTATTAATTTATTTATTTATTAAATGATCTTTAGGTGTTGAATATCGTTTCATTTACCCAATCATTTCATATTTACAACAAAGAATGAAAGTACCGATACAAATTTTTTATTATTCTACACACGCGATACATAATAAATTAAATCGTAGTTGTATAGTTGATGAAAACCGTGCATACTAACATATTTATTCACGTATATTTAATGTCTCATAATTCTGATATATATATATATATATATATATATATTTATAAAAGTCTAAAAAAAAAATATTTTTATAATTTATCTTTCTTTAAACGAACTTCTGTTCTGAATAAAATTTACAAAAATTAATAGAATAATATATTAATTTAAGGCAATTATAAACAATATAAAGTGCAATTAATAGTTTTGAAAAAATAATGTATTGAAAAAATGTTAATTCACCTTAAGTTACTATTTTATAATTAATTTATATTATACGGCAATTGATATTATAAGATTAGTACAAATATATATTTATTTGACTTTCTTGAAAACAAAGAAATTATAATTTATATAGTAATATATTTTTTTACAATAATTTTTTTAAAAAGACAATTTATTCTATAAACGGTTATTCTATATACTAAAATATATTCTTTATGGGTCGTGATAATTAATGTTGTGATAATTTATGATCGTTAAGAGATTAAAAGAATATAAATACAATATTTATTGTGAAAAAAACAAAAGAAGCTGGTAGAATTTTATAAAAATACTTTAATATATTAAAAAATTTACATCTGTTTGAACATTTCATAACTAAAATTTAAATGTAAAATTTTAAACCTACAAGTTATAAATCCATAGATTTTATTTCATTTTTAATAAAGCAACTTTATACCAATCCACGTACACATAGACGTACGTACACATACGTACATATATTAAAATAAAAAAAATATATATATATATATAAATAATAATAAACTCTATATTAAATAAATAAATAAATAATAATCTTAAATTATATTATTTTAAAAAGAGAATAATGTATATTAATAATGTTACGATTGATGTAATGTTAATAATGATACGTAATGATATTACGATTCATAGAATGTTATAATTTTAACAAACGTTAAGTTTATTTAAAATAGTTGTGAGTAATATGTGAAAAGTATAGGAAAATAATGTATGAAAATTTAGTTCATAATCAAATGTAATAAATAATGACTTTATGTAAAAATAGAAATATTATATTAAAAATTTCTGAATAAAAAACTCATTAAATATGGGGAAAAAAAATATAGGTATAGAATTTAATAAATGATAATACTGTAATTCATTTAAATTCTCAGAAATAAAGTAATAATATTCTGCTACACTCAATTATTTGCCCAATTCTATCATTATAATATCTATCATTAATAATAGTAAAAATTCATGAAACTTTCGAATTAAAAATAGAAGGTAATATACATATGTTCCTAAGACAATCGAATGTTATTTACTATTATAAATGTTTATAATGCTGCTTCTATTAATAATCATTGGCTTAATAATTTACTTAAGCATTATGAATGTACAGTTTTAAAAAATATTAAACGTATAATCACAAATATGGCAATTCAACGTTATAGCAGTATATTTGTAGAATTCAGTTTATTATCACGTAATATTTTTGAAAGCTTATAATTCTGAATATTTTATTTCAAGGAAATAACTGTCTGAAGTTTCTAATTATATACATGAATGATCTTCAGTTTCAAACTACCCAATGGCCAATTAATTTTATAAGAACAAATAACAATGACGTTTCATTCACTCATTTCTCATTTCAAAATAAAAAAAAAAATAATAATAATAAAATATTTAAAATAGAGTATAATTCAGTATGAATTAAAATGCGAGATTATAATTACATCAATAATATAATCAATACACGAAATTAAATATAAACAATATTTTTAAATTTAATTTTAATTTTAATTGTTTTCTATGAAAAAATCTCTCAAATGAAATTTTGAAGCAAAAAGGAATTGAAAAATATCTGAATACCGAATTCAATAATATAATAATGGCATATAATTTTGGCAACGAAAATTTTATTGATAAAATAATACAAACAAAAAGTATGAATAATTTAAACTTTTACATTTTTTTTTTTTTTATAACACAATATAGTCATATTCTTAATAAGATACTTGGCATAAGCAAATGTATTGAAGAAATTAAAAATTGTAAAATAAGATTCAATATTATTGCATGGAATGAAATAAATGTAGAACATTTTATTTGTTAAATAAATTAATGTATTGAAATACAAGTGCATATATCTATGGAACATTCAATATGGTTTCTTGTTTTTATTATATTAACCATTTATATAATTATTGAACATAATTCCAAATAATTATTCCGATTCTTTGTTCTAAATATTTATCATTGAAAATGAACTACCATCTTACCTATATTAAATCATTGTATATATAATTGCACGTAATTTTCTATTTATCTATAAAAATAACTTTTAACTTATTTTCACGTAAATACAATTTTAATCATAGAAAAAAAAAATCATTATAAAAGAACCATTTATTGACGCATAACTGATAATTATATGAGTATATTTAGGTCACATTATATTATCTATAAATTGAAATCTTGATTTAAAAATGAACACGAGAATGATTTTTAATTTGCAAATTATTATTATTGAAAAATTGATTTATCCATTTTAAAACTCGTGTCACCTTAATATTAAATCCACTAGTCACTGAATATGAAATTGTAATCCAAAAATGATTGCGGATTAAAATAACATTTATTATGAAAATCCATCAAGTATTAACTCCAGCTAATACTCAAATAACATATATTTCCATTCTCTTTTCTATCAAGATTCTTAATATATAAGACCCCTATAATAGAACAATAAGCACATAATCCATTTGTCCTTATGCAAATTGACACGCCTGTACAAATGATGCCAATATATATACACATCAGTCTTTAGAATTTCTCCGATTAACATGTGCCAGCTTTCTTCAGCTATGCACATTAACACATGCCTGTTCTTTAGGGGCCACTTTCCATTTTCTGAGATCTACTTTTTTTCTCCATTGTTTACTCGTATGGGCACGTATACAAGTACAGTTATATCGATTTGGAGTTTTAATGAATAGTTAAAAAGAAGCAATAATGGATTTCGAGTTTTTTTTTCTTCAAGTTAATTTCTTTAATAATGCCCGATTACGTTTTATAAGAAACTTATTGGATCTATGAATTACAGACATGTATAATATGAATATATTTTTAATTGATTTTTTTTTTTCTGAAAATTGTAAAAAAAAAAATTTCTTTCAACTATGGTTTTTAAAGAGAATTCGTATGCAACTTGTGCATATTCATTAAAATGTAAAATTTTAATAAAAATGTATTTTAGTTAAATTATCACTTTTATTCTTATTATTATTGATATTATTATTTTATTATATTATTGTAGAAATTTAAACAAAATTTTACTTCGATATTCAGATTTTTATTTGATTATGTATTGAAAAAATCAATTTCATAAATTATAAGTAACAAATTAACGTTCCCTAGATGACGCAACTTTTACAAAGAATTATCAAGTTCTATGCCATACTCAGTTTCATTATAAAATTATTCTTTTCTTAATTATAATTTTCTTTACATTTGTAAGAAGAAGGGCACAAGAAAACACCAAAAAATGCGCTCGAACAAATTGTACCGTTAAAAAGAGGACATGTTTTGAGAGTCACAAGCTGTTAAATATTTAAAGGGAATAATACATCAAAGATGAAGCACAATGGAAATTTCACTTACATTAAGGTTGCCTTAGATTACGTATGCTTAAGGTGAAGATTATAATTCAACCACAAATATTTTAGAAATTTACCTTTTTCTTACTAATAGCTTTATTCTATCAATCTTTATCACATACATTGTTTATAATTTCATTACATCTACTGTATTTCAATTAAAAAAAATATATATATATAATTGTCTTTTAAATTAATTAATCTATTTGCTTTAATGAAATTAATTTTCCTTTAGAAATATTAATTGAAAAATAAATAATGTAAAAGCACATTTACATATGATATATGCAAATCATTTATCGAAGTTGCGTAGCATTCAATGTATTCAATATCCATTTAATATCTTGGGAAAAAATAAAAAATTCATTATAAAACTTAATATAATTATTTAGTTACAAACTTCATTATTATTTTATTTACTTATATCCATTGATTGTAAATCATAAATAAACTGTACAGACTTTTAGGTTATAAAATTCATTAAATACTTTATTATCAAACTAGTACCTAATTATATGTAATAATTAAAGTCATGACAATATTCGTGCCCCTACTTTGTTTTTATATTTTTATCTGTACGTAAAGATTATATAGACTCTTAGTTACATGTGAAACTCAATATATTCTTATATAAAGTGTACTGAAATATGTGAGTGTATGTTTGAAAAAAATAATCTAACGTATTAAAGATTTAAGAATATCAGAATACTATCATTTACATATCTTTGATTCATCTTTGATTTCACGTGATAATATGACAATAAATATGTTTCTAAAAGGAACAAAATATTTAATGAATGGAAAACTACGGACACAAAATAAAGAGCCGTTTTCTAAGCTCATTAATAAGAATTCCGTTCTGTTATAAAAATTATAATTTCTGTATGTAATATCTTATAAAATACGGTTTTTTCGTAGAAATATCACTAGGCTTACAAGTAAATACCGTTACGTATCTTATATTTAGAAAAAAATTTTTCAAATTGAAGTTTTCATTCATAGTATGAATGTCAATATATTTCAAAATAATAAAAAATGGACAATTGTTATTTATCGACATTTAATTTTATTGATTCAAATTGTAAATGCATTGTTTTTGCAATTAATTGTTGTAAATAAATTTTTCGTTTTAATTGAATTTCAAGCAGTAAGTATAACAATTTTGAATTACTGCTACATATACATTGAAATAGTAATAATTAATTAATTTCCGTCTATTTTATAATGTAATAAAATCATGTAGTGTAATCATTATAAATGAAAATCAGTTCATAATTTTTAGATATAATCTGATATATTTAATGAATAAAAATGCACTTACCATTCAAATTAGAATTCTTATTGTTTCTACACCACTAAATAATAAGACAAATGCAAAGATAAAAAAAAAAATAAATATCGTTACTAATGAATTCTTTGTAACCTATTATTCTAATCATGATAATGTAAACTTATAATTTTAGTATAATATTTAATGAATAGTAAGACGTCAATTATTCAATACATTTAATAGTATTATAATGGCGAGGAAATACCATAAAAATTGCTCGTCAAACAATAGCAGGAAAAAAAACACTACAATTTCCTGCTGCATTACGTAAGAGAGAAATTTCTCTGGGTCAAGGCAATCCGCTGGACTTCGCCGATGTAAGGGCTATGTCAAGAACTGCATCCGTGCTCATTTTTTTTTAGGAAAAGTACCGGGGAGAAAATTTACTTACGCAGAATAAATCGCTTACATACATCAATATACACATTCCAAAAAGTACGGTATTCGAATTCTTTTGAAATGAGACTCCAGCTTTAAATGATTTCTTTTTCAAATATATCTACATATCAATTATCTTAGCTACGTAAGAATTATGAACTTTAATTTATCACAAATAGAAGGTTGCATTATGTAATTTATTATTATGGATATTAAATAACATCGTTAAGTTATAAAGCAAATCTAATGAACATATTGTAAATTCAAGTTTATATTATATGAAATAAATTTCTGTATAAATTTGATTGTTGTGAAAAGGCAAATCCTAGAGACATTATGAAAATATTATAATATATAATATTTACTATGTAAATATTATAAATTTATAAGTATTATATATATATATATATATATATATATATATTAATTATATTAATTATGTGCAAAATTAGTAGGTTGATTCAAGACAATATTTATCGAAATTTTATTGAAACAAAATGAGCGCACATATATATATATATATATATATATATATATATGTATATAAACTGAAAATTACATACAATATTTATTAAGGTTTATTATGCAAACTGTAAATTAAAATGAGAATTGTTTTAAAATACAACGGGTCACGTAATTATTCTTTTGTCAAAAAACATGCAGTCTTTATTTTTTTTTTTTTTTTTTTTTTTTTTTTTTGTTTTGTTTTATTTTATTTTCGTATGAATAACAATATGAAAAATATGAATATTGATATAAAAATGAAAATATTTCATAAATTCTATTTGAATTACAATGACAAATTTATTTTAATTGATATAAACAGGTTAATATTTTTCATTCTGTATATGGTCAAATAAATAAGTATCCATAAAATTGAAAGAGATACATAAAATTAAAAATTTCTTTTAATCTACTTTATGGCTTTTATTATGATCTGACTTTTAATATTTTTATTGTTTATATAAGTATATAATCTTTAATTTAGTTTATTTTTAAAAAAAAGTGATATTAATTTGTAATATGGAAATGTATTTGTAACATAATAGTTTTCTTAAATAAGAAAATTAATGTATTGTAATAAACAGCATGCTTAAAACTAATTATTTAAATTATTTCTATGATATTTTTTATCTCTTCCACTATCTTCGAGAAAGTATATACATATTAGAGGAGTTGAAATCTCTATGCGACAAATTTATTTCTATCCATACCACAAAAGTAGAAATTGTGGTTGCAGGTGCGGCTGAGGGATTCCTAACTTTCCTAAGAGCAACGCAGATAAAATTCTGTATTCTTCATATATGAATAGCATAAACCCACTATACATATAAGTATTTATGTATTTCTGTGTTTATGCGTTCGTGTATGCGAGCGCGCGCGTCTGTTTGTGAAGAAAAAACAACGATCTGCCCATTTGTCCCTCTCTGCGATTCTTTTATCTCTCGCGGTCACTTTGACACCTACATTGTTTCTCAGAAGCTTGGGCGTGTGGCTGACAGTTTTATCATTTTGCGCCTGTATTTAACCACTTTCCAGAATTAGAGCTTGTGAAGGATCCATTTATTTGGAGAAATTTCGAACGTGATTATTACTATTTGTTCACGATCATTTAGTTTAGATGCTTTTTTCGGCAATAAATTTTTTCCGACAAAATTGCTATATTCTATCATAATATCTGAATTTGTATGTGCCTTTGAAGAAAAGAGTAATTTAAATCATTTGAATTTAAAATATTTATTAATAACTGTTCAATATTATTTAATAGCTACTTTAAAATTGGATATTTATATATAGTAAGAATAAAGTAAATTAAATATTGGAATTTCTTTTTGATAAATATAAGAAATACTACTTAGGATGTATAGATGAAGCAACTTGACATTGTAGGTTTTTTAATTTACTTTAGTCAATTGAAAGACTTCAAATCATTGGAAATGTATTTAAACACTTCACTTCGGAAATCAGAACAGTTGTCTTATAGACCAAAAGATGAGATTTCAAGAATTTTTTTTTTTTTATTTTTCATTATTTTTTATTTTTTATTTTTTCTGAATTTAAAAGCAAACCCTGTATCTCATACTGTTATAACATAAAATCTAAATTTTCTAAATTTAAATTTGAATATTAAGTTATTTCCTATAATCATAATAATTAATACGAATGAATGAATGCAATTAATTTGAATTAATGTGAAGTCATTTTTCCTCACATTTTACATATATAAATATTTTCAAATTTATTTATATTACAAGCTATCAACTAGATAATTAAAAGACATATTTGCAATCATCGTCAAATAATGGCGATTAAAAATTTCTAACAATAATATTGCAATGCATAAAAATAGCTTGATTTATTCTTTTTCGCAATATAAATCATATAATATTAATGAGAATAACCAATTATATGGTTAGACGAGAAGTTGACAACATTCTGACTTCCGTAATGAGAATCGAAATTTGAAAATCGTAGCATCTTCGTTATCATACAACCTTCTTCACTGGTCGCAAAATTTACATTGTGATAAATAGATAATAAATGCAAAATAAGTCGTTAATGAGCTACCACCCTTTTCTCCCGGCTAACCGAGCATTATCGCTCTCTCCTGCTTGTGCGATTATTTAAAAAATTATGAAAGAAAGTTACGGACTAAGAAGATGACGCGCGCAGCGCTCTCGTCACAACCGTGTATGTCGTACCGGTTTGAGTAGAGGGGGTACGAAGCGTATGTACGCACCAACAAAGGAGAAGTCGCGCCTATAAAGATTGAAGCTCCGACCAGGGCCAGGTCAGACTTGGCTCCGAAAATTTTGTGAGACGCGTGCGCGACTACTCCAGCTGACACCCACTGACTCGTACATCGTCGCATGCGCTTCGTCGTGTACATCGGTAGCCCAGGTGACAAGAGTAAGAAGCGTCGTCGTTGATTTGTACTTTGATTTCAGAGTGACTATGAGTGCTTCCATATAATTTCGAACTAGTGGCTCATTAGCACTTTCCGAATTTTCACAATAATCTGACGTTTTTAATTTTTACTAATACTATATTTGCATACTCGTTGAATTACGCGTTATGAGTTATTTCATTGATTCGAAGGCTTCAATGTGTTTTGACAGTGTTGTTCTACTATGTTACTTCATGGTTCATCGACACCTTGCAATTGTTATAAATTACTGTTTATTATTTTAAAGCCTCCAATTGGAAATTTAAATTAATATCATAATCATTAAGTTAATTTTTCCACTGTATTTGAAAGTATTGTATTGGACTTTAGATGTTCTGTCAATTAAAAATTATTCGCGAAATATATTATGAACTGAAGAAAATAATACGGTCATTTAAATTTATCTGCGATTGAAAGAAAAATTGAAAGAACTAAACTAAAAACCACTTAAATCAAATTAATTCCGTATTGGCTTAATGAATTTGGAACAAAATTGTGATTATATGTAATTCGGAAATAAAGAGTTTTCCATCAATTATCATTTTCGATAACAATTATAATTCCATATCTTATAATCGATCCTTTTTCTCTACAGTTAAATTCCTTGGTTAAAAGATAAACTACTCCGAACATGTATAAATACATAACATTGGCTTTGCTAGTCGCATCAGCGTTAGCAGTCCCAACAGATAAAAGCGAATCTGTCGCAGAGAGACTTGACTGCTTCCAAAATGAAGACGACATGTTTAGTTGCATGGCTGTGAAGCTCGTTAGTTCAATTGAAAGAGCGGCGAGATCGGCAGATCTTAATATCGTTGATGGAATTACGTTCATTAGGGATACACCACGTAAGTTTTATTCAAATTCACCATCCAACGTTCATAAATTTATTCATTAACGCTCTTGATTATTTTTCTTCTTTTCTTTTTATCAATTTTAAATGCTTTTTAATACTAATAACCACATGACTTATTCAATTAAATTTATAAAAGTAAATGTCTATGATAATATCCATGAAAGAATGCTTTTCTAGCTAACAAATAGAACATGATTAATAAACATGATTATAATGTATTTAAATATTTCATATATTATTTATCAAATATGTCAATAAAAATTTTGTCCTCTGTATCACTTAACTTTTTTTTTCAATATACCGATGAAAATTCAATGGAAAATAAAAATACATAATTTATTTTATATATTTGTTTATATATATATATATATATATATATATATATATATATATATATATATATATATTTGATGAGAATATACAAACAGGTTATAAATTTATATTTATTCAAGTTGAAATAGATATGAAATGTTTTTTATATTTTCTTTATATTCTAAACGTATTTTAAATAGATTTAAAAATGTTAGGTACAGTGAGACTACGATAAAGAGCCGTCATATTATTGAAAATTATTTAATATTATTACAACAATACGAAATGTATAAAATTTTAAGCATTTTTGGTTATATTATAATTAGACATTTGCTATTATATTTAGCAATTAAAATGCACTCGTTATATATATATATATATATATTAAGTTATATAAATAGACATATAGTGCATAAGTAAAATAGAGTACTAAAATAAAACTTGGTGCATAAATTTTCACTTTTAGTTGAACGTAGTGGAAAGTCCCTAAAACCTGAGAAAGAAGTTCTAAGTGAATTACCTCGTGAAGCAGCCGATAGAACCTTAGAATTAGCTACGATGCTTTATGAATCCGCAGTATCATTTTTTAAGAGTCATAGCTTGAAGGTTAATATCCCCGAGGGGTCAATGTCCCGTGCTCTCGTAGAAGGTATGCAAATTATAATAACAAATTGACAAATTTAAACAAAAATTAAACACATATATTATAAAATAATTCAAATTTTCTAACGTTTCTAATATTCATAAACATTCAGTAAAATTGCTTCAGTAAAATTATATATATATATATATGTACATACATAAAGACAATTTAAATACTTATTTAACAAATGAAACTATACATTTTCTATTTATACATTTCAATATATAATATTCAAATCAACATATAATACGAAACGAATCATAAATTATAAATATCAATTTGAGAAATTAAAATAAATTAATAAATGGATACCAATTATTTCGTTATATAAACATAATGAATAAAATGTAATTTTTTGTGAAACAAAATATTCCATTATATAATATATATGCTAAGTAATTGACGTCATACTACAAGATTAAAATAAGGATTACTACTTTCACTCAGGAAACTTTTTATACTAATGTTGAGGAGACGCTACGTGTGGAATGACAATGAGCGTCAAATATAATATGGGAAACACTAGAGAACTGTAAAGTAGTTAGATCACGTATAATTAGTGTATATATTACAAATTCGTTATAATTCTCGGCCATCCTTATTTAAATTTCTTGAAACGTTGTATAATTGTTATATTATTTTAATTTAAAGAAAATATTTAAAAATTTCAAATAATTAACTATAAGATAAAAACAATGAAACATACCGCAACTGACAGTAATTAAAAGTAATGTTAAATTAAAAATTGTCGTCTGTACGACACTATCATTTCATCCATTCAATTGATATATACTCAAAATTATATATGATTTGATAAACTATGATTTGATGAAATGCCATATACAGTAGAATAAACTAATAATAATAACTTCTACTACGTTGTCATCTTTAAAATTATGAGTTGAATTTAATTAATTGTGTTTCCTTCTCAGGTCGCGCAAAAATAAAGAAGATGATTTTGCCTTTGATCGCTGCCGCTGGTATCAAAATCTTCGCACTGGTCCCGATCCTTGTCGGCGGCCTCGCTCTTCTAATCGTAAAAGCTCTTTTTGTGGGAAAAATTGCCCTTCTCATCGCTGGAATTCTCGCATTCCAACGACTTTTCAGCAGCTCCGCTGGTTCTATTGGCAGTGGCTTTAGTAGTTTTGGCAGCAATATCTTTAATAAAAATCCCCAAGGTTCATGGTACGATGGCAACCAGGGATGGTCGGGGGCGTCAGCCAATCAGGGACAAGGTTACTACAGAAGCTTCAGTGATAAGGTCGACGCTCAATCTATGGCTTATGCCGGTCAAGTGCCAAGTGCCAACGAGGCTAATTGATTATTATATATATTATTGTTTGATTGTGTATTGATTTATAATCTAAAAGATTATCAAACTTTTTGAACAAAATTTCACTACTAAATTTAATTCTATTAAAGTCTGTAATGTCGGGATGTCAATCACTGAACTAAAATATAAAAAAAAACTAATCAAACTTTTGAACGCTAAACGAATGATTTCAACAACAAAAATTATAAGGCAAAACTTATACAACGTTTAATTATATTTATAAAAACAACTTATTTATACACTTTAAAATGTGTGCGATATTTATTTGTACTTAGTGACTTAATTGTGTCATAAAATAAAAACATTATTTATTTTTACCTAATAATAATTAAATATATCGAATGAAAATTTGTAATAATTTATTTTGAAACTAAATATTTTCATAAAAATTCTTTGAGCGATAGTTCATTACAATTATGCTCTACGATTTTATTTACATTTTATTTAAAATCTAATTTTTTTACTTTAAAAATGTTAAATATTTGTAAAATATATGTAATATTTTGTCAAGAAATAATAAAAATCATAATATAAATTTATATTGATAATATTTATATTGATATTATAGATATTTATATTGATAATAAAAAAAATTTGTAATAAAAATCTTTTGTTATGTTTATTATTTAAAAGAAAATATATGCAAAAATTTACATTATTTCTTGTTTTAATTACTATTTTCAAAAAAAATATTAAAAATAATGTAATATTTATATTTTATTGAAATAATTACATTGAATATTAACGTTTTTTTGCTTCTTCGGAGTACTTTTCAAAATAGTAAAATACATACAAAATAGTAAAATATATTACCAATGAATAAATTCTTTTAAATCCTTTAATTGTGAGATGTGGCATTATTATTCTGTAACATAACATATTCATAGTTCTATCACTAAGTATCCGGAATTCATTAGGCTATGTGATGTGTAGTATTCGTAATGGATAACATATAAGTAAAATTAATATTATTGCTCGTTTAAATTGATTATGAACTTACGTTTTAATTTTTTCATTTATAACTGTCTTCAAAAATATTTGTCTTACATTATAATGAATTATTTAATAGTCTTATAAGTAAGTAATATATATTAATAAAATAAATTTTTTTTAAATCCTTTCTCTACGCGTGTTTTATTTTTACCCTAAAAATTTTATAATTTAATCTAATGAAACTTTTTCCCCTGAATAAAAATATTGAAATATATAAATTATAATATAAATAAAGAAAACAGATTTCATTATACATATAATGTAGTTAATTGTGTTTTAAAATAGGCTTTATATAATTATTTGTCGTTAATTAAATATATAATACTAATATTATAAAATCAATATAATACGAATTTCAAATACTCATACATAAGAAAAATATACATTTATTAAGAAAAACACTTAATTAAAAAATAATATTTTATTTTATGTAAATATATTTATCCTATTATAAATTTAATTTTTATATGCAAAATATTTGTTATACATATTGGAAATAGTTATTTCAAGTTATATACAGTTTCAACAAAGAATTATATATTGTAGATTTAAATTCGTTTAGAAACGCTACTAATAATTCTAAAATAAACTAATAATTAATAAAGATTCTTTAATCTCGAGTACTATATTTTGATTATAGAGAAATAAATTACCTTAAGTAATCACTTTTATTCTATAATATTCAAAAAATATATTTAACAGAAAATATTTTTTCATTATTAATACGTGTATTCGAATAATAATAAATTCGTTGGTTTAATTGATAGACGCGTATATACATCTCAATAATTATATGTTATTTAATAAAATAATTAATAAATCTTCTAATAAATATTAATCATTAATAATATTTGCAGAAGTTTTTAAGGAATAAAGTTAAATTAATTTTAATTTATTATATTTGTTAATAAAATATTAATTTTGTTTATTAATTAATTTTATAAAATAATATTTTCATAATATATATATATATATATATATAGATACACTAAGATTTCTTGCATTATTTATGTCGCAATCCAACCCCTTATCTAGTGAGGTCCTGATCCTTCATATTCTAATTCATCAAATGCTATATTTTAATATAATAGCATATATTTTTCATCGTTAACTATTTACATTTTAAATATAGATTTCAGATAAATAAATTACGCCAATCTCATTACAATAATATTCATAATATATTTTGTCCAACAACATTGTTTTTATCTCGAATATTTTAATTTGCTATATCTACATATATTCCGCATCTTGCTTTAGTTTATTCTTATATTAATGACTTTTTAATAACTTTTTCCTATTGTCGCTTCTGTATAATCGACCTTCGCATTGTTATATTTTTTTCTCTTTTTTTTGTAATTAATTTTGTCTGTCTTACTGTCATTGTTAAATATTTGGGGTTGTATACATTTCTTCATTTACCGTGTTTTCTATCATAATAATCTATATTTTTGTATTATAATACTAACATTTTTTATAACATCGATTATATTATATTCTATTTTTTACAAGATTAACTTTTTTATCGGTTTCGAACTTTTTCCGATTTCCAACTTTTTTCCGATTTAATATTTTTCTTACTAATTTCTTTAGTTTATCGTTAAGTTCGAATATATTTTCTACAACTTTTGTTCTTTTATTATAATATTTCATTCTCTTCTTTATTCTGTTCGTTCTTTACTATACCAACTTCAGTCATCTTTATCTATCATTCAATCTTTATTTTGAATATTTTCTATCATTAATTATTTTATTAGTTTGCTCCACTTCCGTTGTTTTATTCATATATAACTTATTTTATACTAGTTTATTATTTATTTAAAACATTATTTCTATTATTTTGCTTATTATTAACTATTGGTTATGTAGCATAACTATAAGCTGTGGCTATTATTATAATTATGAGTAATATTTATATTCAAATGATTATAAAATAATGCTCTCACGATTATACATTATATCATTAAATAAAAATGATTTACAATAAAGTTATTTATAAATAAATTATTTATAATAAACTTAGTGTCTGATACTATAAAAATATTTTCTAGTAATGTATCTTTATAATATACTGGAATGTAAAGTTATTATTTATTAGTATAAATTAGTAATATGTATGTTATTTATTGATATATTGAAAATAAATAATTTTCTATTTACATAAAAAAGAAATTCTATCTATATGATAAAAATTTCAATTAATTTCATTAACAATTAATATAAATAATAAAAAATATATTAAAATCATATATCTATAATATATTACTAAAATTATACATAAAAACATTTCATGTTAAAAATTTATCTAATTTCATTTATTTGGCCAAATCAATTTTTTTCTTTTCAAACATGAAAACAATAGTTAGAAAATAAAGCAGCGCTAGCAAGTTTATCAAACAATTGACTAACTTTCGAGTTTGTCCTAAAGGCGGATATACTAGAAAGTGAACCTCGATAAAAGGAAAAACAATTAAAAGTCACTTGTGATGCTTTAAACGCTCTTTATAATACATAAAAGTACAGTACTAAAATTGAAATTCGTAACGCCATGTCGTTACCGATAGCTGCCAAATGGTTCATCATCGTGGTTAGCCCCACTTTAAATACCACAATATATCACTACTACCTGTGACTATTGATATAAAAGAAAAAAGTGGCCATCTGGTAAAAGTAGTTGATAGTAGTGCAAACACTTCGGGTCAACCTTACCGTGACAATAAAAAATTTTGAAGTACGTTGTAAAAGTGCATCATCTAAAATCAGTCAAAGATGACTTGTAATAAATTCATCGTTGGAACATTAACTTGTGGTATTTGTATTATATTACCAATATTTGCAAGTTCTATAAAACCATCAGAAAATGTTGATAGACAAATGAAAAAAGCGGAGGAAACACTAACGTCAATCATCGATGGATTAAATGAAAGAGGCTCGATTCCAATTTACGGGAATATGATAAGTATAGAAAAAGTAGCTGCCGAAACGAGAATGATTGAAGATAATCAAGAAGTAACAGATCCTCTCATAAAGAAAATTGATAAATTTTTAAATAGCCGCAAGTTGCATATAAAATTTCCTAACGACGGTTCCTCGGCTGATTATTTCGGTAGAGCTTTGGGCGAAAAAAATTTTAACTTCGAATTCAAGGAACTTACAAGAGGTGCTTCTGAACGTAAGTATTTTCATAATGATGTTTAGTTTTATATTAATGTAAGACTATTTACTTACTTTATAATATATAAGTATAAAACATTATTAATTTCCCTAATGTAATTTATACAGTTATAACTCTAATTTAACATTTGCCATTCGTATTAAAATACAAGTTAAATTAATTTCTCTACATCTATTCTTATTTTTTTATTAATGTATATTAATGTAAATTCATATTAATCATATTAACTTCATTATATACTATTGATTATACAATAATATTCTACATATTTTTTTTCAAAACAAATTTTATTTTCATATTTGAATACAATATTTAAAATTTTTATTTCAAAATTTATGATAAACTCTGTTTTTTCAATTTAAATTAAAAAATAATATTATATAGTTTTTTTTTACATGTATCAAATGAATAATAGCTTATAAACAAATAAATTTTATAACATTTAGTTGTATATTATATCGGTTTACTTTCTGCAAGATGATTTTCGTTAATACTCAAATATGCAATGTTTCAAATAAAATTTATTTATTCTTGACATTGAAAACAATAAGACTTTACCAAGTCCTTCGATTTATTAATATATAATTATATAATTATAAATATAATTATATATTGATTTGTTATATATATATATATATATTGATTATATTAAATATATTTATAAATTAAAATTATATTAAGATATAATTATTATTAGTTTTCATAAATTTACATTATTTTAACAAAATGTACGATGTTAGTAAGACTTCCACTATTAAGACTCTTTGTACAATTACAAGATATGTTTCAAAAAGTAGCATATATTGAAGTTAAAGAATAAAACTTACTTAAATGTATGAAAATTATAAAGTAATGGAGGTGACAAACAAACATAATATTATACAGTAATAGTAATTATTAAAAATTAAAAAGATGCTATGTACATTAAATATTGATTCCAAATTAAATTCAATATACAATGTCTAAAACCAATAATATTTTCTGAAAATAACAAAATAATACTTATAAAATAATGTTGTTATTGTAATTCAAACTAGCATCACTAAAATTTAAATTTCAAATGATTTATATTAGTAAATGAACGAAATTCATCTATCTAAATACAAAAATACTAATGCATAAACTTACATGAATTTCAACATTTGTAAGAATAATTACAAGAATCAAATACGCTTTTCTCCATTTGAACTACACTCTATATTTTATTGTATATAATGTATATTTTAATATAAGTATTACTGGTATGACAAAAATATCAAGATAAAAATAATATAAATTATTAATATTACTACTACAGAATATAGACAAAATAATTTAAGACAAATTATTTTTACATATGTTTTATGAATTTTACCATTATTTAATAGATATAATTAATACTATAAAATTCATAAATATTTTCAAATAATATAAAATGTTTAATAATAAATTGATACATTATACTAAAACACAAATGTAAACGTATGTACAAAAATTATAACTATAAACAATATTAAAAAGAATTCGTTTTTCGAATCGATTCTTAGTATAATTTTTGTATAAAATTGGGAATCATGAAATTAGTTTAATATATTTGTATTTATTACCGACATATATTGTCTAATATAGATTCTGTTTGAATTTAAATTTCAACTAAAGTAAGCAAATATAGCTTAACTAATGCAGACATTATAAATTGAATATAATCTAAATGATAAAATTTTCATCACAACAATAGAATCAATTTATTCGTATCACATACTAATATTTCTATGTATGAAGCAATCGATAGGACGTGATTTTATCAGTGCTGTACGTGGGTGAGAAGTGCGGAAAGATCTTCTGTGTGGCAAAACTTATAGTGATGCATCATTTGAGCCGTTAACGAATCAGATGAAAGTGGGTTTACTTCCTGCTCTTCGATTGGCTCATATTAACTAGGCCAAGACGACTTGACTTTTCTTCCCAGAGCCTCTCCTACTCTTTCCCAAATTCTTGAATTTCTTCTGTCAATATTAAAACTAATTCCTTTCACTGTACAATTTCTAAAACATTCATCACACCCATAATCTATAGTTATATTTGTATTTTTATATAAGACATATAATAAAAATTGTCATGGATTTTATTTCTAATCTTTCTCATACTTAAAATAAAATTAGGTTTAACCTTAACTTTTGAATTTGTATCTGATTTTATGTCTAAAATACAATATTTTTAAATTAAAAATATATTAGTAAATAATAAAATACCAATGAAACCGGAATAGTTAATATTAATTAATTTGTAATTATAAACTTTAACTTACAATAATTGCCCTTACTAAATCTTATATTTTATTGTCGTTACTACTTATGATTAACATAATCGTTTTCATTTTTGAAATTATTCTTATTCTTTGATACTTCTTATTGATACTTTCAATTATAAACAATATAATTTTATAGGATTATTTATGTTCACAAAATATCTGAATAATTAATTTATCATATAAGAACTATTATCATATAATATTCACATTTAATTTATACTTATATTCTTATATAGAGAATAAAATTCTTTTAATTCTCGATATTATAAGAACAAATTATTTTAAGGCTCTTCTAGCTTAATTCTTCTTGGCTAATTGAAATAGTGTTACTAATTTCTAATCATTGTAAAAAAATAATTTTGAATTATTGAAATGAAATTTCTTTGTTATTACAATAGTATTTACAATTTGATAAAGTGGGAAAGAAAAATATTTGATAAAAACCATTTTTTTCTTGATTTCTTCAACAAATTTTATAGAATTTTGTTGACGAAAATTAATAAATGTCATTTTGTTATAGAAATATTAATTTTTTGTGATTATATTAAATAGCTACACTTATTGAGATGTACTCATTTTAAAAAATATCTATTATGTTTATGTAAATATATTTGAAATTGTATTAATTTATATTTGATGACATTTCTTATTAAATGAGCATGTAAATATTTTGCTACTTAAATTTAATATCAAGTAATTTTAAATAGTTTTTGAGACTAGAATCTTACAATTAATGCAAAATCGGATTAATTATTGAGTTCTATTGAATACAAAAATGTAATATAACCGTGTTACATTAATAAAAGATAGTTTCATTAATATACTTTTCATGTACGTCATAATGCAAATTGAAATTATGAAAATTAAATAATGATTTGTTAACATCACTAATATTTAAAATTTTAACTAAGTATTTAACTAATTATTTTTATATTACAACCTAAAGAAAGACTATATTAAATGTGTGTAGAAACATTTTTAAACTTTTTTAAATATATTATTTGGAATTTATACTATTCAAAAAGAATAAATTTTTCTATACTTTTAACTTATACTTTAATAGAAATTTCATTTGCCCAATAGTATTGTTTATGATAAAAAATGTTTAATAAATCGAAATCATAGATAAGTTTAATGTAAATTATACAAATTTTATATATTTTGCAGAAAAAGAACAATGTAAATATTATTAAAATATAGAAAAGTTAAGAAAACATCGTATTACCCATTGCTATTTCAACACGTTAAGTCGTAATCCATACTACTTCTTATATCCCAAGATTTGCACATCTTAAGGAGGTCGTCTCTCTCTTCTTCTTCTTCTATATATATATATATATATATATATATATATATATATATATATATATATATATACACACATATATACTGTGTTAAGGAGTATCCGCAGAAGATTTTTTGGGTATCTGGAACGAAATCGTTGAAACAGAGTAGGACCTTGACAAAGACCGACGATCTTCTTAAAGAAAGTAGGCTTGGGGATACCTAAAATTTTATTCGATATTTTTCGTTCAGCTTTTCTCATCTTTTCTGACTCTTCTTCATATTCCTTCTCTTTGTCAACTTTGCTTATTGAAAATACACGAATTGATTATGGGGACGACCCCGTTTTACTGAATTTTTTACACAAAGCAGTCGAACAGGTTATGGCACATTTCAGTGACTATAATACACTAAAGAACTACTTTCTCTTCTAAGGGATTCCACAGGAATTTATTGCAGCGATGATGCTTTTCATGTATAAAAGTTGAAAACAATGAGCTTTCACTCGAGAAAGAATTCCTATTGTCACTTTTTTTTAATAAGGCTTTAATTAAAATTGATTATTCCTTCATTTTATTAAGTTATTAATTAGCATTGGGTAAAATAGCATTTCAAGCGTTTGCATAAAATGAATTATTATTATCGAGGCTTTATTTAGGTGTTTCTAATATTATAATTATCTATTATCTATATAGTGAATATCTGTATCAACCGTTACAATGTATTTAATTAGTTATTTTCCGAAACATTTAATGAAAAATATTTTTATAATTTTTTATACAATGCGCATTAAATCGTAATTAAATCAGTTGAAAATCCACATAAAAATGAATAGTTTTTAGGAAACTTATACAATTTTATTTACAAATAATAAACATAGATGTGAATCAATGAAATATATAACAATTGTTATAACTGTTGTATATAACACTTGCTCCCGATATTATTTGATAAAATGAATATTTAAAAAAGCTACTAAGGCAATTGAAAGTTTTGTTATAGGTCTCACGGTATGATTTCGTATCAATAAAAAGTTATTTTTTAGAATAATAATTGAAAAATATTAATAAAATAATGACTGCAAAGTAAGAAAAATACTAATACAATGATAGAAATCATAATTTAAAAATGTTATTATTGTGTGTGATTGAGTTATAATTGTTATCACTAAACGCTCCACTTATCTGATTTCAGCAAGAACCAAGCTGAAACGCATAATTCTTCCACTTCTGTTAGCACTAAAACTTAAAGCTATAATCATTTTACCGATTATCATTACTCTAATCGGCCTCATTGGCATCAAGGGCCTCGGAGCTGGCGTTTTGGCTTTATTACTTTCTGGAGCGGTAGCACTTAAAGCTTTGCTTACACCCTCATTATCGTATCCTGCTCGTATCAGTTTCGGCAAGCCTTACGACTACCACCACGACTTCTGGCATCGCTCCCAAGAAGATCTCATTAATCAGCCTTATCGTGCCTGGACACCGGAGATCGGTTTTGATCCTCAGTACAACCCCTACCACGAAATACCTTAAAGAGAGTTTATGCATTGAAATTATTATTTCAAAGCGCGACTGAACATTCAATTCATTTACATAATAAAATATTATTGATCTTATAATTGAATATTATTGATATACGTAAAGGTTAGTATTTGGCCAAAAGTAAAAATGACTATGATAGGTGGTTGACAATATTTCTAATTTATATGAGAGCTATAAGAATGCGAAGAAATTATTGTTAAACGAGGAACGAAAACCAAGAATGAAATTTAAAGCTAATTTTGTTGAATAGTATTTTTCAAACTTACGTGAAGCTATTGGTATCGTTATTAAGAAATTCTTTTCATATAAAACAATTAATGTATTAGACAATACGATGTAATTAGTTCAGTTTCATCATATATTCAGCTTAATTTAACTTATATTTAAATTATAATTTTATTTAATCAACGATCTGATTAAAATATTTTGTACTGTATATATCTTAACTTACATTTTCTATTATGTTATTTAATATTTATTATTATTTATAATAAAATTTAGCCTTTTTCAAATAAGTTATCTAATTTATTTACCTTATTGTGTGTATATATATATATATATATATATATATATATATATATATATATATATTCGAATAAGTTGCCTAATCTCAGTTCATCCTCTCTTAAATATATAAAAACAAAATCAATTTGTTTATATTGCTCCACTGCATTTCTATTCTTTATAGAATAAATTATATAAAAAATCTACGTGGCAATTTAATTTTTAAACTATCTATACAATCTTATTGATAATAACATTATTATCAAATATTTTCCGGATAAATTGAGAATTTATACACATTTATTCAACACCTACACAGGGCGTGTGAGCGCTCATCCATATAAAACTGAAGGCTAATAGTTTACCTATTTACTTCCAAAAAGTTTCCAAATTTATTTAAAGATTTTATAGAGTTCTCCGTATCTCAGCCTGTTTGTATAATTGATTGTCAAATTATCATTTTTAATAAAATTAAAATCTCTCTAGAGTGCTCACACTCGCCCACAATGTATTTAAATTCATGTGAATATACATTTTTAAGCTTATTTACCTAACTTTCTTAAAATAATGTACGGAAGATATACAATTTTATAAAATATTCAAAGCAATAATGAAGTGGGAACGCAAACGAAGAAGAACAGTGTAAGGGGACGATCGAGAGGAAGAGAGGCCGACGACCCAGATGTTCGCTTCGTAAAAGACCTCATTAACGAATACGCAGAAGAGAGGTTGAACGATGGAAGAGGATGATCATATAAGGATATCGATGCTATATTTATATTAATACCCATGCGATCCAGAATTCTATTAAATTGTTTAACTAATAATGTTTAAATTTCTTGTAAATTGAAATTAGTGTATAAATTAATATGCTAACTTGTATGATATATATATTATATTTCCATATATGCGGTAACAATATAATAATAAGAATTAATTAATATTGTACATAAGTATAATTTTTACATTTCCGATTGTTTTATTATAACTATTTGTTATATTACATTTAGTATACGAATTTGTATTTGTTAATATATATTAAAAGACACACGGATTTTTAAAGCTAATAAATAATAAAAATTGTTATAATAGAATTCTATTATTATTATAAATAATGTATTTATTTCTACAATATATACCTATTTATATATCTTGTGCATATATATATATATATATATACCATAGCAGTTATGATAGACAATTTTTTATCGTATAATCCTTATTAAAAATAAATGGCACACACACACACGCACGCATACATATGTACATCCATGTAAACATAATAAAAAATTAAATGATATATACTAGTGCATACACACATAGATATTAAAAATATTAATTGATTATTATGAAAAATCGATTATGATTTATTGATAATATAAAGAAATTTTATTTGATATGTTCTTATACAATGTAAAGAGAATTTAATAGATTTTTCGGAGAAATCTGCGAAATCTTAAATGATAAAACACTTTCTAAAAGCAGCAAACTTTCAAATTTCCATTACAAAGAATTTTTTTATTTACTATTTATTTTGAATTGTTTAGATTTTAGTTCTTTTAGCTGAATTAGAGATTAGAATTAAAATTACGGGAATAATATTCCTTTAACCTTTATAGATTGTTATTGTCAAATAATTCTCGTATGACATTTAATGTATGTTTAATTGAATATTATGAAATGGAAGTTATTAAGTTTTTACAAATATATAAGAAATATTTAATATGAAATTGTAAATATGAAGTTTGGTATCAGCGGAAAAGAAAAATAATTACGTGTAGAATTAAAAGAAATTCTTCGAGTAAAGTTAATTTTACGGATATACTCATTTTTAATTATGTGCTCAAATTGCATACAAAAACTTGAAAAAAAAAACCGCGTGAATATTTTAAAAGTAAATAATGACATAGTAGTGTAATAAAAGCTATTGTAAAAGTTAAAAAGAAATGTTAGATGTGCATTTTAAAAACAAAATATACAGAAAATGACAAGAAGTTTTTAAAAACTAATTAATAACTAAATTACAAATTCTTTCCTCTTTTGTCTTTATTGAATACGTGACAAATGAATCAGCAAACACTTTCTATAATTCATTAAAATCAATCGGCCATGCTTCAAAAAGGCAAGAAGCATGTAGAGATCCGAAAGAAAAGACTCAACACCGTTTTATACTTAATAAAACCAACATACTCTCTACCAGCAGTTAAAACGTCGTAGAATGGCTGGCGAGAAAGGGGGAAAGGAACCGGATTGTAACAGGTGGTCGTTATGAAAAAAAAAAAAAAAAAATGTGGAATGAAAGCCGAAGACTCTGGTGGGAGGGAACGAACCTCTCAAGCGGAAGTAGGTAAATGGGTCAGAGGTGTGTGGGGCATAGCACGTCGTTATTGGTCTTTGCCCCACCAAGCGTTTAAAGGTCAGTAGGTCATTGGCTTCTGGACGACAGCTTGACCGCGTACGACAGTAGTGGGGGTCGAATAGGTAACGGTATCAGTTGTGAGGGGAACATGTGCCGAGTGGTAGGAGGGAATTCGAAGTCAAGCGGTTATATTACAAGGTGGATGCCAAGGTGAAGGCTACAATTTCACCACGACGCGCTTGTAGACGGTCGTATGATAAATACACGAAGATCATTTGTGCACTTCAATTGAAAACAATGAGAATATTAATAAAATATTGAATTTTTATTCATATTTTATATATCCAGTTAATTGAAAAATTTATTATTATTTATTATTCAACAAATGATAAGTGCAATAGTTTCATTATATTTTGTGTTGAACTCGATTTTTATTAAGTAAATTTTTTCTTGATAACAATTCCCTTTAGTATTCCACGGTCTTATCTTGTAACATAATTAAAAAATACGTATTCTATGCTATTTTAATAGCTATTATACATATTTATATAAAATTTCCTTATTACTATTGGATTATTAATATCATGCGTATTATTGTAAAAATTTAGACACAAATTATTGATTAATAAAGATAGAAATACTATTAGTAATTTAATATTTTCAATAATTATTTGTGGATTAACCATTCTTATTGTTTTGTATTTCTTCATGAATAATTTGATAACTTCATAATTACATACAAATATATTAATTATTATAAAATAATGTTTCATAATACAATGCATATTGTTTTTAAAGAAACATTAAATAACAATAATATATAATTTATCTACTTTAATCTTTTCGTACAATAGAATGAAACATTCGTATCAGTTAAATTACATTCTTGCGTGTGTATTGCATTTCCTATAATATTCATATATAAATTATTTGGTTTGATTAAATGTATATAAAATAAAATGAAATATATAAAATAATTCGGTATATCATATCTTATACATAATTAGTCTGTTACAAAGTATTAGAGAAAATAGCTATTTATTCTATTTATTGCAAATCAGAATAGTATGTATTATCTGTAAAGTTTTTAATTGATTAAAATATAACTGTAATTTATATATTTAGACACTAAATAGTATGTTATATAAATCTTAATAATGATGAAACAGTAAGTTTAATTACAAATAATTATACTAAGAATCAATAATGTTAGTATTATTTATATTATAAAGCCGTTTGTGAGATAATAAATTTATAAAAAATTAAATATATCAAAGATACATAATAATATTAATATTACTATATAATATTTTAAAAATTACAATACTTTTCATAGATATCAATTTTTAATAAGTGATATTTGTAGTTAGCAGCAATAAAATAATAATTACGGGGATTCACATATTCATTGTTAAGATAAGATAAATTTTATGAAAAGATTAATCATATAAGAATGATTATATGATGATTATGTTTACTTAATAATGAAAGTGACCATGTTTAGAACTTATATTTCAACTATTTTTGGTAACTGTTTTATTAACTCCAACTACCAATTTTTACAATTTCATTTGTTCATGATAAAGTAAATATACGAGTATAATTTATCTTATAATTTTATTGTGATTATACAAAATTATGATATATATATATATATATAAAATTAAAATTATAAAACATTATATTTTATAAATTTCTACTTGTTTTTATAAAATACTAATAATATTTAACTTGCAAAGAAAATTTATACTGCGAAAGATATTAATTTTAAATCCAAATCCTTAACTTATGCAACCGGCATTGCAAAGGTGTATATCAGATAATATACAGCTAGGGAATAAAGAATAATAAACACTTCACTTATGAAAGTAATTGTAAAGATCCAATTAGAAGTAATACATTTTAATATTATTAAAATAAATAATTATTCGTAATTTATTAATAACAAATAATGTTACGAATGGATATCATATATATAAATAATATTCTAAAAATAGATTGTTTTCATTTATCCGATGTTTAATGTATGTCTGCATTGGCTAATACTTTAATTTTAAAGTTATATTCAATATAACATTTGTTTTTTGGGTTTAATACATTTTTTTAAAAATTAATTAAAAATACAGATGTTCTTTTATATCTGATATATAATGATATTTCAGAACAAGATTTAAAATAGATTAAAAATTAAAGTTTCGTT